CTATGCTAAGCTACAGCTAAAAGTGCAACCACCAGACCCAGAGATCGGCTGAATGGATTCGAAGACGGTAAAACTCAACTGTTTAACTTTAGGGGAGTTGGAAAATGAGCCTATTTTCAAAAATAGTGGAGTGTTCCTTTAAGAAGCACACAAGTGAGTGAGGATCCTGCTTTTTTCATTTGTGTTACATGGAAGAAATATGTCATATAGGTTTAAAATAACATAAGGATTAGTAAATTATTACTTTTTTTTAACTAAACATTCATTTTCAAGACTGATCTGAATTTTCTGTTTGACATTGGGTATGTATGTGTCATGGAAAATGGAGTCTTGTTTTCTCATTTAACAGAGCTACGTTTTTGAAATAATTTATTTAGTTGTTTTAGGAAGTAGTCATGAGGTAACACATATATTTTGATTTTCATGATCCCAAAAATGAATTCCAGACCAATGATGCCAGACAACATGGAATAAATTAGTGTGTTAATAACTTTACGCATGAAACTCTGCTTCCCTCTACTGGATAACCAGGTGAACTGTTTGCAATGAGACTGTATACGCATATAGAAATGAATTCCCTCAGCATTTAAATCGTTGTAAAGTGGTTAAAAACAACTGTAATCATAAACAGTTGGAACTGGTCCATCCTGACTTGCGCTACCAACAGGCAGCACCTTAAAACGACAACTGTGTACTATATCTGGACAGCAATGTACTGAATAACGCCCAAATATTAGCCACTAAAGTGGAATTCGTTTTTAATCAAGCGTAGCGTTAGTTCTGGCAGGTCACGTTAGTCAAGCTCGCATCAGCTGACCTTCAGCTGATCCCCATCTACCTATGGGAATACGACACCTATCTAAGTATTCATATATAAGGTCCCGCAGTAGTATCAGCAGTTTTCGCATTGCTCAATAGCTAATTACCCTCCTCCATCCCCAACTCCTCCTCTGTCAGTCGGGATTCAGCCTTCTGATTCTCCTTGAATCAGACTAATTCTAAAATGTGTACATAAATGATTGAACTTAACAATATCTGCAATACATTTATTTTGGTTCTGTTCTGTTTACCTTGGGGGGTTATTGCTGCTCTCCCTGCTCTCATCCATGCTAGGCTGCATGGAGGCGCAGGGAGTTCTTGCCCAGAACGGAACCATACCACCAATCCAAACTGTATGCTAATTGTCAATCATCTTTGACGATCGTGGTCCTGACAGAAAAACAGTTATTAGTAAAAACAGGAGAGTAACTGAACCCAGCCTGAGCAAATAGACGCCGCAAGCACTCAGCACTGACCTCCAAATGATCAAAGTCGACAAATGGACGGGAGCGCCATCTTGCGATAGGCGATAGAATATGAACGATAATGTTGGCCAAGCTTGTGTCATTCCAGGGTTTTTTTTGTTTGACGTAACTTTGTTAAATTAACCCAAAATGTATCTTACATCCGGATTAAATGAAACATTAGAATTAGATCAAATTAGATCAGACGCTGAAGCCTCAGAGGAGACGAGCGGTGCTGTAAAACATGTTTCATGTCTTAAGACTAAAGAAAACAAGCTAGATATTGTCACAAGCATCTAAATGCTTATAGAAAAGAAAGAAAACATTAGGCCTAATGCTGCTGCTGTTGTCTGCTAATGTGTTAGTCTACTACTAATAATGGTTTCCTTATGAGATGTTTTAGCTCTTGTATAACATATTATGATTATCTGATAAATGTAGGTCTTATCTTTATTCTTATTACTAGTTCCTGTAATTACCCAATGATGTTGGAGATGTACAGTTCTGTTCCTTAGAAATGCTTATGATTGCAGTTGGCTAGGGTCACTAAATCTGACAAGTAAAATTTCCTATAGGCTAGCTATCAAAATGTTACCACTCTTTCATAATAACTGACTATAAATGTTTAATAAAGCGACTTTTTTAATAAAGTGTGATATTGAGCTCCTCTTCTTTCTATTTTATAAAGCATATTGATCAGCTGACATATTGATACAGTATGGTCTAACAGGTCAAAATTACCTAGTACCACAATGTTACCCATTTTTACTCTAAGTATATGTCTATGTTCTTCAAACTCATTCAAGTGATGTAAAGATTTCTACTTTTTCTTATAGGTTTATTCTTGTTGTCTTTTGAGTAACAGTCACCAATTATTAGACAGTACAGAAATCATTACCAGAAAAAAAAAAACTCCCAAAGATCATTTTTGTGATGCTTTTTAGGTTATCATTCAGAAGGTTTGTTATTGCACCTCTAACACTGTTGAAATTTCTCCACTGTAAGTAGTCAACTTATACTGTATAGGTAATTGCAATATAAATTAAATTAAATTAAACTGACTTAAAAACATGAGCTTAAGAATTGCTTAACTTATTTTGATTAGTTAATGTAAAAACATGTTTGAATGACTTATTGATCATACCATTTTTATTTTACATTTGTGTTTGCATATTACTAAGAATTTGTAACCATTAAAACTGTGAGATTTTTTCTGCCTTCTAGAGTGTTCCTAGAATAGTAGAGTTTTCATTTTAATTTCACAGGTCTAGTTAGAGATACGTTATGATTGGGTTCAAATGGGGTTATATAATCTGAAAAAAAGTAGGATAAAAAGTGTATGAATAAATAGCCTACATAAGACTTGTATGTAGCTGTCAATAACTTAGTGTTGTCATATCTTCTCACAGATCAACCTTTTACAAAACAAATACAGGAATACATACTGTAATATAATTATATATACATGTATGTTAAATGTTCACTGTCCCACGTGACTTTTATGGTTTATTCATTTATTTGATTTCTTTTCTTTTTTTTTTTAAGTTTACAACACTATTTCACAATCAAATACTAATTTAATCTCGATAAAATACATACAATTTGAAAGGTCTACGTTTTTCAGCATTACTGCACTTTTTTAATTAAAAAAAATTCAGAAATGGACGGGGTGAACAGTAACAAGGGAAATGTATGTTAAGGAATTCTGCATTTTTCACATTGAATCTGTTCAAGAAAATCAGGGAGGGAAACCTGTAAGCCACAAAACAGGCATAGAAATGTTTTAATTTCAATTCTGCTTTTTCTCCTGATGCCACATAATACCTTCACATATTAATATATTATTTAATATTTTTAATAGAGTGCAGATTCTGATATGAATAACAAAAAGCTCATATAAAAAACAAGATTAATGTGTAGTTCTTGCTTTTTGTAAATGATTAAGCCAATTAAAGCAGCACTATGTAACTTTTTCTGTGTTCAAAATTTGCAAAATGCATATAATGAGCGAGTACATCATGAATTCATCTTCCAAACCGCGTTTTTGTCTTATTCCGAATCACTACGGTACACTTATAATAAGTACTTATATTTGGACTATTGTAGCCTGGTCGGGTCGTCACCGCTGCGGAGTAACACATACCTGCGTGAATCGCCAGAGACATAAACTTAGAGAAGTAGCTCCGGTTGGAATGTTCTTCCGCGGGATGTGTGCAGTTCTGTTTATTAACCGCTAGAGCGCCAAAAGTTACATAATGCTGCTTTAATGGTAGTAGGTACATATATCAAAAAACTTTTGTTTAACTGAGAAAAATAAGAGGAGCTGACACATCACATAAGTCACTTTACTAAGCATTATAGCATGCGTTAAATAAAATCAGTAGCTTTAAATTTAACCTGTCAGATGCTACTGTATCTATGAATATATCAATAGGGGCCTATCTGATCATATGCTTTATGTAAGATAGAAAGAAGAGGAGCTCACACATCACATGAGACACTTTATTAAATATTTTTAGTCAGTTATTATGAAATAAAGAGTGGTAACATTTTGATAGCTAGGCTATATGAAATTTTACTTGTCAGATTCAGTGACCCTAGCCAACTGCAATCATAAGCATTTCTAAGGAACAGTAGATCTCCAACATCATTGGGTAATTGCAGGAACTAGTAATAAGAATAACGATAAGATCTACATTTATCAGATAATCAGTCTGACCATATCAGCTTCTTTTAAAAAAATAAAATCAAATCAAAGGCTGGGGTTGCTTTGCTTCTGTGTTAATTAAATTCAACATCAGAATAGCCCTATTCTTTTCCATTCATAGATGTATAGGCTATATTTATTTTTCTATTTATAAATTTTATTTCATAATGTCGTTTCTTTATTTAGACTTTCGTAGCATTTAATTAGTGTAACGATAGTATTAGATATATTTAAAGACCTTATTTCTATTTAAAAATGATATATTTACAAAAAAATTAATGTAGCAACTAGAACTTCTGAAATGTAGTTTAAAAAGCATATTTTAAACAATCAAAAAGTGATGCAAAGAATGCAAAACAGACAACACTAAGTGCCAAATTGACTTTTTAATGACACAAAGACAGACACATTTCAGTCAGGAATTGTGGCTTTCTGTGCAAACAGCAAAAGTGTGCTTTTAATGCTGATTCAGGCCCCCTTCCATTTGGCAAAAACACTTGCTGTAGTTTCCAAGGAACACTACACCTGCACCACTATTTAGCAGCAAACCATTTCGCACACACCGAGCACTTACATTTCACATCCTTCAGCAACTAACTTACTTTAACTTTCACAAAACACATACACAGTCGGTGAGATTCATCTAGTGCACCCAGGGCTCTTCAGTTCTCCGAATTGCATTTGCTCAGAAAGTCACAAGATATCCAATATGGATGAGTTACTTCATTTGCCACTACTAGAAAAACAAATGAACATATTCAACTTGAGAAAAAAAAAAGTGATTAAGAAGTGCAAGCACCCTTCATTCGGACAAAGATTCGGCACAAATGCCAAAAGTCTTAAAACATAAAGAAACAGCTTATAGGTTTGAGATTATTGCACATAAATACAGAACACAGAACAACAAAAAGAGATGAATTAGCACATATAAAAGTTAAATTAAATACTCTAAAACTGAAATGCATCAAAACATTAAAATAATGTGATCTTTATTAAAATTATATTAAAACTAAATAAAATATATTGTCACCATTTTTATTATGTCACTTAGAAAACAACCTAAATATAACAAAAATTTCACTTTTTACCTATCGCTGAATATTAGCTACAAAAAACTTGCATTTGTAGGTCATACTTGTGTTCATCCACTTACAAACAGATGTTCCTCACTAAAACTCAGGTATCATGTGTGTGACCTCCCATTTCAAAGCAAAACCTCTGAAGAAACTGGCAGTAGATGTGGCCAATTATTGCAACTTCTCTAGGTCTTCATTTCAGATGCTCGGAGTCTTTCTTCCTCCAGTTTGAAATCAGAACTGTTGTTGTGGCAGCTGTGCTACAGTTTCCTTGTTATTTGTCAATGAGACATTATTGAGTGAGATGTTGTCATAACTTGTGACTCCAGGGTGCTTCAGAGCTCAGTGATGCCTCCATCAGTCTGTTTTTAAATTGATCTGAGCTTCAACATCCAGTGGTCACCCGCTCATCACAGTCGTCCATGTGGTTATATAGTCTTTGTTCACTTTTAATGTTTTTCATGTATTATGTTGTGTGTTGTAATTGAGTTTCTGTTACTTGCGGGACCTCAGAACTGCTCCAGGACTCCAGGATGAGCCCGGCGCTCTGCTGAGATTTCTGTAACGCTGGCGAAGCACAAAGTCAAAGTTGGCAGTGGTGCACATGGCATAGAACACGTTGGCTTTGTCTGGGATCAGCAACTCTGATATAAAAAACGACAGTGATTTATTGAGTGCTAAATACATAAGTTTAAAAAAAAAGCATATGCTATTCATAACAAGCTTAGACACATTAAACTTATGTATTTCATGATTATAAAAAAATTGTGCTT